AAGGTTAATGGGAGGATTTTTAAATATCTGTGTAAAACTACTGTCATTTCTCTTTGATATGCGAGACACATATACTCTGCAAGTGTAACTCCTATAGATTGTATAAACAGCAACAGAGAACCAGAGAGCATCACACAAGCAGAGAAGGATTTTCTGTTTTATGCAAAAGGCACAAAGCACCTATCCATGGCTTCTGTTTCTTAGAAATCCATGCAACCAAACAAGAAGGTATCATGGTTTTGCACCAAGTCCGTCCATCTTTTACACGAAAGAATGATCGGAGTCTATAAAAAAAAAAAATCCTAATATTGCTGTTTCCTTCTCAGTGGTTTTTCTTTTCTTGTGCAGGAATGAGGCATATAATGGTTCACACCCCATGCCCATCCTCTTTCTGTGGCTTTCTCTATTCCAGCACATCTTACCTGCTCCATTTTGTAAAGATCTCTATGTGGGACACGTTTTTGTAGAGAGTTTTATGAGGACAAGGCAAGAAGTCCATGAGCTTGGGGATAAGGTAATATAACTGAAGAAAAGAGAGAGGGAGAAAATGCAGTCAATGTTCACTGAATTAAAACCATGAATCTTTACAAAGGAGGACTCTGAAGTTGGGCAGATGAATCGTGTTCAGCGTTTGTAATATTTTTTTTGGACTCACTATGTGAAATCAGGCCAGGAGCTAGATAGGCTGAAGCAACCCCAAAGGAGAGGTTAAGTTAACAGCATTGAAAGCTCCTTCTTCCAACCAGAAATTCTTGGAAAAATATCCAGACTAGAGTTATAATTATAAGGCATCCCTTGTTAGCCCTTTGCAACCACTTCCTAAGGATGTTTTAAATATCCAGACTAGAGTTATAATTATAAGGCATCCCTTGTTAGCCCTTTGCAACCACTTCCTAACAGGAGGATGTTTTAAAGATCTTATAATCTCCAATGCAACCTTTCAGACTAGGCCACACAAGGCTGGCCAGACACAATCCAGGAGCTCAGAAGAGGTGGCGAGTTAACAAATCTTAGGACTAGAGGGGCTGTTTTGTGTTAACATACAATGAGGCCTTTTGGACGCAGGCCTTCTGTGGGCTGGTGGTGGTGCTGTGGGCTAAACCGCAGAAGCCTGTGTTGCAGGGTCAGAAGACCAGCAGTCGTAAGATCGAATCCACACAACAGAATGAACGCCCATCGCTTGTCCCAGCTCCTGCCAACCTAGCGGTTCGAAAGCATGTAAAAATGTGAGTAGATAAATAGGGACCACCTCGATGGGGAGGTCACAGCATTCTGTGTCTAGTTGCACTGGCCACATGACCACGGAAACTCTCTTCGGACAAACGCTGGCTCTACAGTTTGAAAATGGGATGAGCATCGCCCCCTAGAGTCGAACACGACTGGACAAAAATTGTCAAGGGGAACCTTTACCTTTACCTTCTGTCTCTCTACTATATTGGTCCACAGAAATGGGATCCAACAGTCCTAGGATATCTCCTTTTATACCCAACCTCCATCTCTCAACATGTTCTCCTTTCCTTTAGCACCTTCATTCTCTTCCTTACCTGCCCTCCATAGGAACTGTCTAGCACAAAGGCGTCTGTAAGCAGCCGCAGGGTCTGGATATAGTCCTTATCCTGGTAATCGAACCGGTCTGCAAAGAGGATGTGGCTGATGATGTTGCAGGTAGCGCTGCTGAAAAGGGTGATTGGGTTGAAGGGCCGACCTGGCAAGGAAAGCAAAACACCGATGGAATGTTTGGGTGAACACTCAATTGTCATATTTATTTTAAGAGAGAGTTATTATGGCCAGAAGCCTATTATCTACATTGCAATAACCCTAGGAGGCTACATCTTGACACCCAATTGCCACAAACTAAGAAGAGAGCAGAGGCATTATCTGTCACAAGTAATGGCCAGTGACGAGAAGAATAGGGATATTATAAATGATCATATAGATTATGCAGCAGAATATATTTATCTGGGACAGGTAATGCAGTGTGGGAAATCTAATCAGAAAGCAGAAGAGGAGAGCCATATAAAACCTCCAAGATCAGCAAAGTAAAATTCTTAAGAGCCAAAACATTTCCCTAAATTTATGAAGATTAATTTAATTTAAAAACATTTTGTATAATTCTATTGTTTAGCATGGTAATTTGCACTAGAGCACACCCATTGAATCAGTGCAACTGTGGCGGATGAACCAAAGCTTCTATTATTTTATTATTATAGTTTTGACTTACTTTCGCTTAGTATAACCCAACTAGGGTTGGCCGAATGGTATCGATGGAATTTACAGAGAAGTTGACTTACCAAATCCCCAATGATTCAATGGACCTACTCTAGTGGAACATACTATGTTGAGCAATGGGATTTCAGCCACTCCCTGTTGCTAGTACAGACCTGTATGCTGCACAGATCTAGACTCTAACAAAATGCTTAATGGAAAAGCTTGCAAAAACTTGAAGGGAAGAGAAAGGTCAAGGATCCGACTAACAGATAAAGTAAGGAACCAGGTTATTTGGAAAAAGAAGATTAAAATGTTAGATATGAAAGAACAGCGTCATTAAAAAGGAGTTGGGCAAGCTATGCCATGAGACATGAAGTAGAATGACAGAATAAAAAGATACATGAATACCTTGCGTACTAGACAGCTTGCATTTAGTTTGACTTGTTTGACGATTGAACCTCAGAATTAATGGAAGCAGGAGGAATAGGAAAGACAGTAAACAAGACAGATATATGGTATGATGTTAAAAGCAGGACTGGCATAGACTAGAAAAGCAGAAAACATAAATTTCTGGAAAGAACTAGGGAAGGCCTATACAGTATCTAGTAACATAAGGTCAACAGGCTAATAAAGAAGAGGAGGAGAGGAGGGAGGAAAAAGAGGAGACAGCTTTGATTGATTGATTTATTGATTGATCCATCGATCACCCATCTGATCAAAGGCCACTCTAGCTGGTGCACAGCAAACAATGACAACAGACAACAATTCTAATAAAACAACCTTAAATTACATTAGTACACATTTCAAAAGAGTAGACCATTGATCTAGATGGGCGGGGTAGAAATCCAATAAATAAATAAAATACTGTAATATAAAAACAGCTTATATTAGACATTCTAACTTAAATACAGTAAAATGAGACATTTAAAACATTTAATAAAGGTATATTATTTTGGGACTACAGTTCCTAACATCTCCCAACAATATTGGGATTGTGGAATCTGGAGTCAAAAAGAGCAACGTTTCCAAATTTTGGCCTCCGTAATTCCCTCCTATACTCTGGTCCCACACCCATAGAACCAAAAATAACTGCAGAGGCAGGTTTTCCTGTTCATTCTAACTGGGCCCTTCTTTCAATGATTTTTTTAAAAAAAGCAACACTTCTTCAAGGTGTCAGACTGTACCCTTGGTGGCCCGAAGCGCCTTCATCAGGTACTCTGCCTCCTCCTGGATGTGTTCCTCAATGCTTTTCTTCCCCATTCCAAAGTTCCTCAAGGTTGTGAGGGAGAAGCGGCGGATCTGGAGCCAACGCTCCCCATTGGACACGAGAACACCTGGGGAGAGGAATCGGAGGAAAGTCACCATGAGGGAAAGGATTTTCTTGTCCGAAACGATAGCAAAATTAATGCGCGGCAAGGAATGATCTCCATTCCTTGGAGTGTTTGTGTGAAAACCTTGAGCCAGCCTTCTTAGACCTGTGGGATTTGAATGTGTGGAGGATAAAGCTTGGGAAAATTGTTTTCTGGCAACTACAGCTCCTAGAATTTCCCAGGCAACATTGCTTCTGGAAGAGCTGGGCCTGCCAGTAGCCCTGATGGCGCAGTTGCCTCAGGTGATAGAGATGGAAGAATAAAGGAGCTGGATTCAGAGCACTTTCACCTTCTCCTTCTGTAGGCTACTTGGTACCTCAACTTGTCAAAGAAGGACCACCCTAGGTCCTCTGTTGGTCTCAGCTAGGGATGACGAGCTGCCTCAGCTGAGGGTCCCATTGCCAGGGAGGTGTGATCCTCACTGTCTGATCTCCCCTTCCAGGTGGACCCCTCTAAGGAATCTATGGGGGGGGTGACAAATGGGATGTTTCGGGTGCAATGCATTGCTTTCCTGAAAAAGGGTGACTTGAGATGGACAATGGTCTCCAAGTATTGTTTGGGTCATTCCCGGACTTTTCCAACATTCGGGATGGAAGGATCAGCGCGACCAAGATGGCAAGAGTGGTTATACGGACGCAGGTGTTATGTTCTTAATAATGAACAGTGATGGGTTTCTATGTCGCACAACAGGGACATCACTTAAAATTTTATACCACAAATGAAGACACAAGGGTTTATCAACTTTGCCAACTCTCTTAGACTCAAATTAGATAGTTTGTCTAGGTTCAGGACTAAATTTTGAGAAAGTACAAATATGTAGTTGATGTGTAGTACTAAAGACACTGGAATATGTTAATATTTTTATCCATGCCTGACAAGGGAAACATTATTTCCATTGGGCAGGATCTACCGAAAGGTGCACATTTCCAAGATTTATATCGGCGCTGAGCTCAGTCATCCAGAAGTGGAGGGTGGCCTTTCGGTCCATAAGAGGAGACCGACTGAGCCTAAGGTTCCCCACCACAAAGATCTGTAAACATTATGTGCTTTAAGTCATACAGAATTCATCAGTGTGTGCTCACTGGGGTTGGGCTCCCCTGATGAAAGCGGAGCGTTCTGTTCCAGGCATTCAGAAACTGCGCAAACAGTGGATGGAGGCCGAGTCGGGTAGCATTCCCTCAGCGCCAAAGAAGGGAGAGGATTATTTGGCATCATGCTGGGGAAGGGCCTCGGTCGAGCACACGTTTTGCATTCTGAAGATGGCCAGGATCAATCCCCACCAAGGCTGCTTTGCCCCCTACCCCCACCTTAGAATTTGATGGTGGAACACAGGTGGGGATATGAGCCATACCGAGGCCATTGCTTATCTTGTCCGTGGATGGCAAGGTGCCTCGGTCGAGGAAGTCGTCCCCGTTGTCGAGGAGAACCTTCTTCACAAGATCATAACCCCAGACGATCACAGTTGGTTCCGTGCCGAAATACAGCGTGAATACCGGCCCATAAATCTCACTCATCTGTAAAGATGGAGCAGGGGGGAGAACATGAAGAGAGGTGGAAGGTCTGCAGAAATTTAGAGAAACAGATGATGAAGTGGTTCTTGGAGGAGAGGGGCCAGGATGGGCAGGATTTTGACTCTTTGTGTGTGCCTTTTCCCCCGGGTGGACCATATAGCTTGGTTCCCTTAACTGTTAGGAGCCTCACTGAAGCAGTTCAACATTGGGCAAAGAAGAAAGTACAAGAAAATAGCTTTCTTCAGGTCCAGAAATCTGTCATATTCTGTCCTGGCAGCTGTGGCTCATGGGGGCGGGGGAGCAGAAGGAAAATAGTATAAGAGAAGGCGAAAGAGGCCGTGGTAGGAAGTAAGGGGGAGAAAAGGTGGAAGGGAGGTAAAAGGGAGAGATGCGTTCCTCCTGTGAAGAGCTATTTTGAAATACAGGCAGCTAAAGAGAAGAAAGTGTGAAGGGCAAGAGGAGAAAGGGGATGACAAAGGACGAGATGGTTGAACAGTGGCATTGA